AGGTAGGTGTGGAGCAACCAGGCCCTCCCAGGGGCGATCCTGGCCTTGCCATGCACCTGCCGCCCTGACAGGGCTGTGGGTGCTGCCATCTTTGAGAGCAGGGCAGTTAATTAACATATTCCCTCATTATTGGCTGTGGACACTGCCATATTTGCGATGGCATGAGGGTCAATTAGCATATTCTCTATTAAATAGGATTTGAAATCTTTTTTCTTGAAATATTAAATATTTTCTTGAAATTAAATATTTTCTTGAAATAAAAAATATATTTATTTATTGCATGTAAATGGCTAATTATTTTATACTTATAGTCTGGTAATAGATTTATTTTGTATATTGTAAAAAAAATAAAGTAAGTCATAAAAACAATTAATTAATTACAAAAAAGGAAACTATAACACTCTGATGAAGGAACCCAAAGAATTAAATAATTGGGAACAGTCCATGTTTCTGGATAGGAAGACTCAATGTTGTCAAGATGTCAGTTCTCCCAAACTTGATTTATAGGTTCAATGCAATCCCAATAAAAATTCAGCAAGCTATTTTTTGTGGTTATTAACAAACTTCTATAAAGTGTACTAATATATGGAGATGCAAAAGACTCAGAATGGCCAATACAATATTGACAGAGAAAAACCATAAAGTGACAATAATTAAGACAGTATAATATTAGTGAAAGAATAAATAGATTAACATAACAAGAAAAGACAGGCCAGAAATAGAGTCACATAAATACAGTCAACAAACAAAGGCAGTAAATTGGAGCAAAGATAGTCTTATTAATAGGTGATGCTGGAACAACTGGACATTCACAAACAAAATATATCAATCTAGCTCGGCAGATGTGGTTCAGTGGTTGAGCATCAACCTATAAACCAGGAGGTCACAGTTCGATTCCCGGTCAAGACACATGCCCAAGTTACAGGCTCAATCCCCAATGTGCAACGTGCATGAGGCAGTTGATCAATGATTCTCTCTCATCATTTATGTTTCTACCCCTCTCTTACTCCCGCATCCTCTCTGAAATCAATAAGATATATATTTTAAAATATATATGAATCTAGATAAATATTACACCTTTGCCCCACAACCAATGAAATGTTCAATGATGAAGTTGAAATTTGAACCCAGGTAAACCCAATCCAGTGCCCATCAGCTTAACCTTTTTTCACTATGCAGATCTCCATTATGTGCAGACCTCACAAAGAGGTCTACTCTATTTCAAATGTATGGAAATGGAGCTGTCATCACTAAAATAAATACATAAATGTTTTATGAAATATGTATTCCCTAACTGGTTTGGTTCAGTGGATAGAGTGTCAGCCTGCGGACTCAAGGGTCCCGGGTTTGATTCTGGTCAAAGGCATGTACCTTGGTTGCAGGCACATTCCCAGTGGGAGGTGTGCAGGAGGCATCTGATTGATGTTTCTCTCTTATCAGTGTTTCTAACTCTCTCTCTCCCTCTCCCTTCCTCTCTGTAAAAAAAATCAATAAAATATATTTTTTTCTTAATGTGTAGTAGCTGTTTTGGTCAGTGATATAGTTTATAAGTTGTTGTTTTGTTTTTCAGTCAACAGACACCAAGAAATTATGTAAGGATACTTAACATTTTTTAAATTACTTTTTTTTAAATTGATTTTTACAGAGAGAAACATCGGTGTGAGGAACAGTTGCCTCCTACATGTACAAGGGATCGTATCTGAAACCTGGGTATGTGCCCTGACCAGAAATTGAACACTTTCTAGTGTAATGGACAATGCTCCAACTAACTGAGCCACACCAGCCAGTGCTTTGGTATTACATTTTTTTACATAAATCATAATGGTAATGTTCTAATTCCTAGCTTGGATGGTATATTACCAAGGTTCATTACATTGGTATGTTATATAACGTGTGTATACATGTATATATATAGACATTCTCATCTCGTTCTTTTAAGTGATCCAAATATTATGTAATTTTTAATATTTAATAGCACTGGTAGTCTAAGAAGAAAAACTAGCACTTTAAAAAAAAAAAAAAAACAAGGGGTTATCATGTGTGAAGGATGGGCCTTGCATTAGGAAGATGAACCAAATGAGCTCAGGGTGGCTCCTTTTGGCAATAAAATTCCTAACCTTAGCATGAGTCATTTACAGAGTATGGCGGGTGATTTTTTTTAAAGTGTGCTCTCTCTCTCTCCAGCAAAAGGGGAAATTTTCAGAAGGATTATACATGACTGAATGAAAATAATTACATTGTTAAATGTCTTTGATGAGAAAAGTAATTCAAAGGGTGGGTGGGAGGAAGGGGTTAGGAAGAGGAGGGGAAATACAGAACATCTGTGCACGTTCTATACTGAATATGTGTTAAGTTTTACAATTGGAAGAATAGAACGTTAAGAACCAGAAAAAAAATCTAGAAATAATAAGGTCCTGCTGAGATTGAAGAATCCAATGCCTACTGCCCCTCCCTCTCTCTCCCACATCCCAGCCCCCTCATCTACTCAATCACTGAATGGGGAAAGAACTTTTTTGATAGAAACCTTTCCCTCTTGTCCTCCCCCTTCCCTTCCACTCTTGTCTTTCCCCTCCCTTACAGATCTTTGTATTCCTAGCACTTTGTTCCCATCTCCACCATTGCACTTACCACATTAGAAGGTGGGCACGATGCTAAAGAGCTAACATACATTTCCTCTTCTTTCACCATCACAACTACCCTCATCAACAGATGTTACTAGCCCCATAACCTGCCCCAAATCAAATGGTTAGTACATGGGCGACCCAGTTCTTTGCTTGCTCCAATGCATATGCTCATTCTACTGCAACTGTGTGTTTATGCAAAGACAGGCACAGCTTAAGTACTCGACTAATGTGTGCTGACAGGAATTAAAAGACCTAGGCTTATGCTATTTGCTTCCAATGAAGAAATATATTCAGAAAAGTATTACTTTAAAGGTGAACTTTTCTATCCTAACTTGTTCTGTCAAATAAAACCCAGTGGACCTGGCATTAAAAGAAACTAGCACGTGTTGAGAATAAGCAGGTGCATAAGCCAACAGCAAAATAACTGCCAAACCAGCAGCCAGCACCCTGCCCGCCTTCCCTGTCTCCTGGAGTTTTAGAGGGTTTGGGCACAGTTACTTCCTTCTTACCCTGCTAAGGAAAAGTGTAGAAAACAAACACATGTACCCCTAGTGAGTCAACCAACTCCCCGAAATATCCTCCCAGGGTCTCCCCAGACATCTAATAAGAGATGTTTTGGTTGTGGCTATACTCATTTGCTGTAAATTGCTGGAGAAGACAGTTTCATTTCTTCTGCATCTCTTTCCGGTAAAGTTTGATCAGAAAGAATTATGATGAATTATTAAATTACATTAAGGTATTGAAATTTTATCTGTAACTGCCTTTTTGATTACCTATCTAAATGGGACAGTTTGTGTACAATAGCAAAGTGCCAGGCCCAGAGCCAGGGCTCAAAATAAAGTTTTATTATCATTATTATATTGGAATACAAATTCATAGTAGTCAATGATTATTTGATATCACTCACCAGGCAATGCTAAAGTGGGATTAAGCCCTAGCCGGTTTGGCTCAGTAGATGAGCACTGGACAGTGGACTGAAGGTCTTGGGTTCGATTCTGGTCAAGGGCACATACCTCAGTTGCAGGCTCCATCCTCTGCCCCACTGGGGCTCACGCGGGAGGCAACCTATGGATGTGCATGTCTCATATTCGGTGTTTCTCTCTCTGTCTCTCCCCCTTCAGTCCACTCTAAAAATCAATGGAAAAATATCCTTGAGGATTTAAAATAATAATTTAAAAAATAAGCAATCAATAAAAGATAAACGGGTTAAGTTCTGAGGCAAAATTAAGACCCTCTCCAGAAGGGTCTTTTGCTCGAAAAGCTATAGTTTGGGTAACTAGGTGTTGCAGAGCTCTGACCCACCGCACAGATGCTCTGCACTCCACAGGCAGTTTATAAACACTTGGGAATCGAGTATTAAGAAAATATATCTTGCACGGGTCTTTAGTAAAACGAAATGACTTTTTTCGTGAGTTGAAACCATTTCTGTTTCTAAGTATTAACCGAAATAGCAGTTTTATTATTGTCCCGGGCGGACCCTTAACTACAGCCCCGTTGTAAGAATCCCTTCGCTCAGCGGGTCATTTCTTGCAAATCGGCTCCTCCGAGGGTTTTAAAGAGCCGAAGGCCGCCGTCTTCCGGGTTCAGGGGAAGTCAAGGCTGCTCTGGCCCCATTCAGTGCAGTGGGGTGAGCGCTCCTCAGTCCAGGTCACTCCCCCCTCCCTCCCGGCGGTGCTCCCCAATGCGTTGAGTGTGCACGCCGAGTGGACACGGAGGGACCATGCCGTCCTGTGTGTACGGTCGGCATTTACAAACATGCGCGTCCAGGGTCCCGGGGGACACCGAGCTGCTGCCGCTCACACCCGCCGCGCAGCTCCGCGCACACCGCGCGGCGGGCTGCCGTGCACAGGGCGGAGCGGGGCGGCAGGCCGGGAGCTGGAGAGAGATGTGGGGGCATCGGGAAGGCTCTGGAAGGATCCGGCTCGATCGGGAAGCGGGAAAGGGAGGAGGGAAGGGCGGCGCCGAGAGTCCGATGGTCCGGGCGTGGGGGCCGCGGACCCGGCAGCCCGCAGGAGGGAACTGCGCCCTCGGCACCGGCACCAGAGGCCGAACCGGCCGAGCCGCCGCGTCTCCAGAAACTTCTCCACCCCCGCCCGCGCCCCGCGCCTCCCGCTCCCGCGCCGGCCCCGCCCAGCCCCGCCCCCCGCGGCGGGGAGGCACCAATCGCGTCCGCGGCCGCCGGGCACCCCCTCCTCCCGCTCCCCCCGGACTCGCTGCGGCCGCGGCGCCGGAGGCTGAGGCCCGCGCGCGGACCGGATCGCACGCAGGTCGGAGCCGGCGAGCCCGCGCCGCAGCCCGAGCAGACAGGCCGGCGGCCCGAGGGTTTGGCGCGCGCCCGGGGCCCAGCTCCCCGAGTAAACGGCGCCCGGAGCGGCGATGACCGCCGAGGAGATGAAGGCGGCCGAGAGCGGGGCGCAGCCCGCGCCGCTGCGGATCGAAGGCGTGGACATCAGCCCCAAGCGGGACGAAGGCGTGCTGAAGGTGAGGGCGTGGGGCGTGGGGCGCGGGGACCCGGGGCCGCCGAGCCCCGAGGCCCCCCTCGCAGCCGCCCTCCCGCCGCGCCTGGCAGCGCCCCGCCGGGCCCCGGGGACGGGGAGGAGGGCACGGCCGCCGCTGCAGCCTCTCCCGGCGGCCGTGCAGCCGCCAGCTGGTTGCAACGCCTTCCCGGACTGGGCTGCGCAGTAGGGGAGCCGCGGGCTCCGGAGGGGGTGGCCTGGGTGCGCGGGCCTCCCCCGGCCCCTCCTCCCGCCCCCCCTGGAAGCTGTAGTCGGGGCGCAGGTCCCCGGCCCTGCAGCGCCAACTCCGGCTGCGCTGGCCGCGGGGAGGGGGCGGGGGGGCTGGGGGAGAAATGGGGCGCCGCGGGACACGCGAGCAGGAGCTGGGGGCCTTGGGCGGCGTGCACCCGGGGCGGGCCTGCGCCCCCCCGCCCCCTCCCTCACCTCGGTTCGACCCCCCCGCCCCCTCCCAGCTGCCAGCGGCCAGGCTGCCAGCTCCTTCCCTGCCTGCAGCAGCCGGGAAGGCCTATGGCCGCCGCCGCCGTCGTCGGTGGTGGTGCGAGAACTCGCCTACTAGCGCTAGCAGTTAAATGTGAGCGGGGACTGGAAGCGAGTTACAAGAGTCATTTCCTGACCGAGAGGCTTATGTGCCACTTGGTGCCCGGGCCTGGCCGGGAGGAAGGTCCTGGCGCCCTCCGCCCTCGCATTAGCCCCTTTTCTAAAGGTTGGGACTTAGCTAGGTCACCCGCTCAGCCATGCTGTCCCCTTCCCCCAAGCCCCGGGGAAACCGGGGAGCGGTGCATGCCGGGACCTGTAGTTCCCCTCCCACCTCGGATTCCCCACCCTCCGCCTTTCCTGATTTGGGGCTCGGGGTGTGGGGTGCGGTGCCGAGAGGAGGTGCTTCGCTTGGGAGCCTGCTGCTGTGTACCCGCCAGACTGCAAATAGCCAGGCTAAAGGGGGAGGTGTCAGGGACTCAGGGAGCAAGGCAGCTTGACCTGGGTCAGGACAACCACCGGTGGTTCAGAGCAGGTTCTGCGGAGTCCAGGATAGCGAAATTCCAGCCCGGATCTCATGGCCACTGCTGAACGCCACGTGTGTGTGCGCTCCCAGCCTGGACAAACCTCCAGGAGCCCAGCCCCTACCTGGTCCAGAAATGCATTGCAGATCTTGGAACCCCAAGTTGCTCTCCCAATGGGCATGTGGCTTCCCCTTTTCTCTCCAAGGTCCTGGTGATTTCTACAAGGAAGGGACAGTTCCCCTTTTATCCTCCTCTCCTTTCTACTCCTTAATCCCTTGGCCATTCTATCTTGGAAATTTTGCTTAAGAGGACAATGACAACACTTACCAGGTTGCCCGTGGAGGCAGAGAATAAATGCTAAGGAAGAGTAGTGGAGACTTATAAGTTCCTGGGAAATACCTGTAGCCCAGAAATGGAAGACTTAAACCAGTCTACCAGTTCAGAATGCCCATGTTCTGAGTCAGAGCTTAGGGCCTGACACATGTGCTCATCTGCAATCCTATCCTATATAATCCTCCTATATAATTAAAGAGTAATAGCAAATTGACCAGTTGGCAGAACAACCAGTCTCTGTGATGCACACTTACCACCAGGGGGCAGGTGCTCAACACAGGAACTGCCCCCCACCCCTAGGCCCGATTGGGACCTGCCAGCCACCACCTTGTTCCCTCCCCACTTCCCATCCCCGTCCCCTCCCCCCACAGGCAGGCTCCAATCCACGATGGCAACCTGGGAGCCAGTAGTGGGAAGGGGGGAGGACGGCAGCTGCCAGCAGCCTGGGAAGATGGCCCTAATCGCAGGCCTGGCCTAGAGACTGTACAAATTATGCACAAATTATGTGTAATGGGCCTTTAATCTGGTATATTCCTTTTGGACTTTCCATTTCTCTATTCCTCTCCTTATCTCCAAACCAGACCCTACTCCGATGAGAAAATAGAGCATAAATACTTCTTCTTTGCTGCTGATATAAATTTTACCAATTTAATCTTCCAACAACTCGGAAATGGATTATCATCACTACTTTATAAATAAGATCTAGAGAGTTTGAGTGTCTCCGGTTTTTCAAAACAAGTTAGACCGCACCTTAAGAAAGATTGGGAAGTCATTTGACTTCTAGCCACGCTTGGTTTCAGAGTCCTTTGAGGACTGGTCCTTTGAATCTATTTACAATGAGGCAGAAGACCTCCTCTATGTTCTTGTCAGGGGTGTGCAGGCAGTTTTTTGCCTCTTTCTGTCCCCATCCCTGAGGATTTCACCTTCTCCCCCTTCCTCCCAGGTCATCAAGCGAGAGGGCGTGGGCACAGAGGTGCCCATGATTGGAGACCGAGTCTTTGTTCACTATACTGGCTGGCTACTGGACGGTACCAAGTTTGACTCCAGTCTGGACCGCAAGGACAAGTTCTCCTTTGACCTGGGAAAAGGTAGGCAAGCCAAGACTGGTTTGGCTCAATGGATAGAGCGTCGGCTTGGGGACTGAAGGGTCCCGGGTTCGATTCCGGTCCAGGGCATGTACCTTGGTCGCGGGCATATCCCCAGTAGGGGGTGTGCAAGAGGCAGCTGATTGATGACTCTCTCTCATCGATGGTTCTAACTCTCTATCTCTCTCCCTTCCTCTCTGTACAAAATCAATAAAATATATTTTTTTAGAAAAAAAAAAGAAAAGGTAGGCAAAACCTCAGCTTGGTAAATAGGCTTTGAGGAGGGTGTAAGCTGTTACGAGCAGAATCCATATTTTCAGAAGCTTAAGGAGGAATGGTTTATTACAGACTGTTGATTATATTGTTGTAGTTACTCCTTTTTCTTCCACTGTCCTGTAACTATATTGATTTCTTTCTCTTTTCCCATGATCACCTCTGAATACCTCACTTCCTCTTCAGGAGTGAACTGCTGTTTCTTGAACTCCTTTGTTCTAGAGTTGAGTGTGTGTTGTTTGTTTGTTTGTTTGTTTTAAGATGCCTGGGACGACAGCACTGGTTGCAACCAGGTTTTCTACCTTTCTGATCCCATTTCAAAAGATTGTCCAACTTCCCCTTAGACATGGTACTCTGAGGCCACTGGGCTTTGAGTCACATCCCTACCAAGGAGGACCTGTTTGCTCTTTGTACATACAGGGGAGGTCATTAAGGCTTGGGACGTTGCTGTAGCAACCATGAAGGTGGGAGAAGTATGCCGCATCACCTGCAAACCAGACTATGCCTACGGTTTGGCAGGCAGCCCTCCGAAGATCCCTTCCAACGCCACACTTGTGTTTGAGGTAAATGTCCGGCCAGAGAGCAAGGCAAAGAGCCAGCGTTATCTCAGCTCAGGGCCTGGCTGCCCTCCAGTCCTTCCTGCTGCTGAGAGACAATGTAGCCAAGGCTGAGGGCCTGGCCTTTAAGAGGAGAAGGCTACCAGCATGTGGGCTGTGATGGAGACTTCCGGTGACAAAAGGTGTCCACGAATCCCCTTTTCAAACTTGAAGCAGGATAACGGGTTGAGACATGTTTATCTCAAAAGCAGTGCCCAGAGGAGATGGGGTGTCACTTTAACTGAAAGGAGTCTGGCGGTCAGAATCTGCATGCAGTTATAAATGACAGTCTAGGATATTGGTGCCTAGAGATCAGAGGTGGAGAAAGATGCCTCCCTCCATGGGCCAATGAAGTGAGGGAAGTTTCCCTGAGGAGGTGGAACTTGACACCATTCAGTCTGAACGTAGTTGAGCCCTGATGGCCACTAATACTTGGAGAATGTTCAGAAGACTACTGGGAGATGTGGGGTCATTTCTAATGCCTATCAGATTGGACATCTCAGTTAACCAAGTTAGGATTGTCTGGAACATGTCCTTGTTATGTGGAGCAGGTAGTAAATAAAGTGATCTACCAAAGTTAACACTAGGGGAGATATTGACAACTTAGCAAAAGTGTCACTTTGTCCACTCCGAGAGTGGCTGACCTAGTCTCACAGTTACTAGGGACTTTTCTGAATAAAAGTTATATCTCACTGTTGATGAGTTAGCGCTGAAAGGAGTTGTGTCACCTTACATCTTTTCCCACAGATAGAGTTATTTGAGTTCAAGGGAGAGGACCTGACAGAAGAGGAAGATGGCGGAATCATCCGGAGGATACGGACTCGGGGCGAAGGCTATTCCAAGCCCAACGATGGTGCTATTGTGGAGGGTGAGACAGTAGTCCGGTTTTAATGTGGTTTCTGATACTTAGTATCTGGGTGGCTTTGGGCAAGTCACTTCTTTCTCTGATCCTCTTGTCTATAAAATGATGGATTGGACATACCTTCTTAGTTATCCTTCCAAGTCTGAGAGCACAGCCCGGGCCTCTTGGGGGCAAGAAGTGATGCGGTCATAGAGGGAGGCTCGTGGCATCCTTCTTCGGTCATCTGCCCTCACACACCTGGTACATTGCCTCTCTTGCATGCAGTCTCACTGGAGGGGTACTACAAGGACCAGATTTTTGATCAGCGGGAGCTCAGCTTTGAGATCGGCGAGGGTGAGAGTCTGGATCTGCCTTGTGGCCTGGAGAAAGCTATTCAGCACATGGAAAAAGGAGAACATTCCATTGTGCACCTCAAACCCAGGTGAGGAATGGGCACTTTGTAGAGCAGGGGTGAACCATGTCCACAGTGAGTTGTATAACTGGCCATGTGTGTGCTTTCCTCTGCATGTGCTCACTACCCCGCCACTTCCTTACTGTTCCCTGTGCCTCTGGGCACACCAAACATAGACCATTATGATCTCTTTGCTACATTTAGGAATGTGGCCATAATTGCCCACATCTTCTTGGGTTAGAACGTAATCTTTTCAGTCATGGCTGCTATAGGCTCTCATTGATATATATATATATATATATATATATATATATATATATATATATATATATATATTTTTTTTTTTTTTAATTAATTTCAGAAAGGAATGGAGAGAGAGAGATGGAAACGTCAATGAGAGAATATCATTGACTGGCTGCCTCCTGCATGCCCCCTACTGGGGATCAAGCCTGCAACCTGAGCATGTCCCCTTGACTGGAATGGAACCTGGTATCTTCCAGTCCACAGTTCAGTGCTCTACCATCTCCCATGAATTCCTTCACTTGTTAATGATAAAACACACCTACTCCGTGCCAGACACAATGCTGAAAATTCCTGGGTATTCAGAGACATTGTTCCTGCCACCTATTGACTCATTTTTCATTGAGAAGCCATTTAAGTTTATAACCATGCCAGTGTGTAGTGTGAGTTATTGCAAGGGTATGTAAGATACTAAGAGACCAACTGATTGTATAAGGAGATTAGGGAAGACTGCTGAATAGGAAACATTTGAACCAGGTTTCAGGGGATGGGGAGGTACTTTCCAGGAAACAAACAAGAAAGCCTTTAATGTGTGGAGCAGGTTAAATGTTGCTGAGATGACCTAGAGGGTTTTTCTTGTTTGTGTGTTTTGTTTTTGTCCCCACAGCTATGCTTTTGGCAATGTGGGGAAGGAAAAGTTCCAAATCCCACCAAATGCTGACCTGAAATATGAAATCCAGCTCAAGAGTTTTGAGAAGGTGAGTTTGCTCAAGGTCTTCCCTATCCTAGAATCAGGTCCCACCCTGCAAGTGGTTCTCAGGGGTAACTGACAGTTGTGTTTCTTCTTTGGGGGATGGCAGGCCAAGGAGTCTTGGGAGATGAATTCAGATGAGAAGCTGGAACAGAGCGCCATAGTGAAAGAGCGGGGCACAGTGTACTTCAAGGTAAGCCAGCAGCCATGGTCCCCCGATGGCTGAGATCATTTTCTGGCAGGGAACAGACAAGTGTCACCTGCAGTCTTCACTTTATATATCTGAGCTAGCTGGTCTTGCTTGTGGGAGGTTGGGGGGTTAAGAGTGGGCAGGTCTCTCTTATGCCCATGGGCCCACTGGTGTCTGCCAGGTATAACCGCCTGATGCCACTGGACCTGTGCTGTATGCCTGAGCCTCCCTCCCATTCTAGGAAGGCAAGTACAAGCAAGCTTTGCTTCAATACAAGAAGATTGTGTCCTGGCTGGAATACGAGTCGAGTTTCTCTGATGAAGAAGCACAGAAGGCACGGGCCCTTCGGCTGGCCTCCCATCTCAACCTGGCCATGTGTTATCTGAAACTACAGGCCTTCACAGCTGCCATTGAAAACTGTAACAAGGTGAGGCCCCTTTATATATTTTTTTAATATATTTTATTAATTTTTTACAGAGAGGAAGGGAGAGGGACAGAGAGTCAGAAACACCCATGAGAGAGAAACATCGATCAGCTGCCTCCCGCACACCCACCACTGGGGACGCCTGCAACCAAGGTACATGCCCTTGACTGGAATAGAACCTGGGACTCTTCAGTCTGCAGGCCGATGCTCTGTCCACTGAGCCAGATCAGCTAGGGCATGAGGCCCCTTTAAAGAAGGTCTGGGAGCAACATTCACAGGCAAGGTTGGGGGTGAGCTGTTAGCATGTCTGAATCTTGCCCTCAGTGACTAGGATCGAAGCAAGCAGGGTGTAGAACATTGGGAGCTCAGAGATTAAGGGTCCAGAGGCAGGGGCCAGGAGAAGCAAGTGCCTTAGCTTCAGAAGTGGGAGGCAGTTGACCCAGAGATGGAAGAAACACTGGATGTTTTGTTCACCCTGGTTCTTAGCCTTTACCTCTTACATACTTGGTTTATTCTAAAGAGAATGGAAATGATGTCAGACGTCCTTCTCCCATCTGAAGACCTGTCTTCCCTCTCTGCCTCTTGGACTAAATGAGGTTCTTTCCTAGACCTTGGTCTCCTCCATTTAATGCTCTAAGAGTCATTCTTCCTGGAGTAGAGCCAGCTGTTTCCATTCTCCATCATCCTCTGGAACCCAGTGTTGGCCAGATAAGCTACAGGAGCTGAGGTCTCGCTGTTGTTTCCTCCTCCATCATTAGGCCTTGGAGCTGGAGAGCAACAATGAGAAGGGCCTTTTCCGCCGGGGAGAGGCTCACCTGGCAGTGAATGACTTTGAGTTGGCACGGGCTGACTTCCAGAAGGTCCTGCAGCTCTACCCCAGCAACAAAGCCGCCAAGGCCCAGTTGGCCATCTGCCATCAGCGGATCCGCAAGCAGCTTGCACGGGAGAAGAAGCTCTATGCCAATATGTTCGAGAGGCTGGCTGAGGAAGAGAACAAGGTGAGGATCGGGACAGACACAGGGACAAGTAATGTCCCTCTGCCCATCTCATTTCCTTGTTCCTCTGCCCAACCCAGCTGTTGTGAGCTCTTTGTGATTGCTTGTGCCAATCCTGGAAACCAGAAGTTGCCCTCATCCCTGAAGTGTGGGTGTTCCCCAGTGAAAACCCCTGCTGTCAGGGCCAGCATTCCTTTCATTGGTCAGGGCTGGGAACCTACTTGCAAGGTTTAGAGGTCAGGAGTTGCTGAGTGTTCTTTCCAACATAAGTTCTCTATGCCTTTTTAAAAGTTTTTAAACATCTATTTTAAAATAGTAATACATTTACATAGTTCAAATTGTACAAAAGAATGCATAGTAAAAAGCCTCCCACCATCCAAAAGCAACTTGTATCATTCCAGTATGTTGAATACATGTACAACCAGATACATTTATGTTTTCTCCCTTCTTCCTAGTAACAAGTAGCACGCTCCACCTATTTTCTATACTGTGCTTTCTTATTATTATACCTGGATACTTACTTTACATCAACATCCAAAAGAGCTTTCACATTCTTTCTTATGCTTAAATAGTATTCCATTTCATAGGTACATCATATCTCCCCCACCCCTGTCTCTAGTCTTCAGTGTGCTAGACCAGCATTGTAGAAATAGGCTGGCCATAACTAATTTTTAAATTTTCCAGTAGTTATATTAAAGAAACAGGTGAAATTAATGTTAATACTATTTAGTTGACCTAATTTATCTAAATATTAAACATGTTTAAATATTGCATTTATGTATTTTCAAACTAAGTCGTCAAAATCCAATATGTATGTTATACTTAAAACACATCAGTTTGAACTAGCCAATTTAAAGTACTCAGTAGCCACATGTAGTAGCTTCCATGGTGGATAAGTACAGACTAAACAGTATTGCAATGAATGATTTTATAAATTCATAGTTTTGTGCAGGTGTATCTTTAGGACATATCTGAAAAGGGGCCTGTTTTGTCCATGGAATTCTGCTGGAAATTATTGTGTATGTGTTTTTACTTGGGGGGGTGAGTATTTGTGGGTACAGACTATATACAGGGTGACAGTGCTAGGTGTGTGGCACCAGACCAGATGAGTGCAGGCAGGCAAGAGTTGAAGACATGAAATAAGTCAGCCTTCTTCTTATCAGGTGACCAGCCAAATGAGAGCTGGAATTCACCCTCTTTCTTTTCACAGGCCAAGGCAGCAATAGCTGCAGGAGACCGTCATGCTGATGCAGAGATGAAGGATGAGCAGAAGGATGTGGCAGGGAGCCAGCCTCAGGTGGAGACGGAAGCATAGCCTCTCCCCAGCCCTATTCCTGCAGCTGCCTGCTTCCCCTGCTCCCTATTCTGCTCCACCCTGTTTGTTTTGTAAAAACCGAAGAATTTTGAGTGAATTAGACCTTTATTTTTCTATCTGGTTGGATGGTGGCTTTGGGGGGAGGGGGAAAGGAGGAGTAGACGGGGGGGTTGAGGTGGGGTATCATTTTAGGTGTTTTCATCCCCTCTTCCCCTCCTCCTTCCCCCATTACATATGAATGGATGTCCATCCACACACACATCAGAATGTTAATTTATTTTGCTTCCTTTTGCTATGCCTGTTTTTCAAATGGTAGAAGGGTGTTAGTAGGGATGTGGGGTTGGATGTGAAACAGGGTGGAGAGGATACCTCCTCGGCAGCCATTTTCCTCCTCCTTTCCTCCTCCCTGTCCATTTCTAAACATGTAACTCCATGCGGGTGCTAGGGGCATGGGAAAAACCACTGTTGTGCCCATTACGTCTCCATTCCCTTCCTCACCCAGATGGTGTGGTTGATGCTGTCTTCTGGTGTCATGGTGACCACCCCCTGTATCCCCGTCCAGTATTTTCCTCTCCAACCTGTTTCTCTTCTCAGCCAGGTTGTGTCCCCATCCCCACCCCCCCTCTGCCTCTTCTCTGCACGTTGCTGAAGGTCCAGGCTCACCTCAAGTTCTATACTTGAACAATAAAGTGGAAACAATAAAACCTGGGTGTCAGGCAATCCTTTTTGTTTGGCCTCAGAGGGTGAGCATGGGTGGCTACACTATGGGGGCAAAATTATCGGAGTCACCCATCACGTCCCCAGTCCTGTTTGGAATGCAGCACCTGACAGAGAAGCTGTAGTTGAACAGGTGCAACACTGCCATGCAAGGCTTCCTGGGTACTGTATAGGCTCCAACCAGGGCCTGTGCTGAGGCCTTGCCATAGGTTTCCAGTACTCCCGCGCCCCCTCCAAGCAGCCTGGCAATTTTGCCAACTCTGGTTGTCTTTGCTAACACTTAGGAAGAGGGAAATAACTTTAAAACACAAGGACCACTTGTTTATTTTGAAGTTAGATTTGGCTATTTCCCCCTAGCTAATTCCTAGAAAGCACAAGCTTCCTTGATTACTTAAGGGAAAATCCTGGTGTCACACCCATCAGACACCTTTTACGCAACTAAAAGGGAAGAAGAGTCAAGCCAGAGAACACAGGCACGTAGGCCTGTTTTCCAGCTTCCCTGTGCCTAACAGGAAAACACTGCTGACCCTTCACTCCTATAGGCATGAGGCAGTTATGCTGACCTGGCTGCTGGCCAAAGCCTACATCTATGCCCCATCCTCGCCTGTTCGTCTGTTGAGTAATTCCTACATAGTGACAGAGCTAGTCTGACTACCCACAGGCCTACAGTGTTCCTTCCAGAATTTTCTTCATACTTTTACTATTGAAGGTGAAAATGTGTGTGGAAAGTTTCACCTAGTCCTACAGCATGGGTGGTGCTGGAGCCAGAATTAAAATTTGGGGTGTTATAGTTTCCTAGTGTCACCACTTTCTCCCTTGCTGGGTTCACATCAGAGTCGTGGGGCCTGGACTATGTGTCTGGGTCTCTGGTATTTCAAGATTAGACATGGCCCTCCCTGCAATCAGCAATAATAGGTAACCATAGTTAACGTAGAACTAAACTAAGAGCCACGTGTGGATTAACCTTAATCTCTGTAACCATCCTACCAAGGAGGTATTACCCCCCTCCTTTTTTTTTTTTTTTTTAATATATTTTATTGATTTTGTACAGAGGGAGAGAGTTAGAAACATTGATGAGAGAGAGTCATCGATCAGCTGCCTCTTGCACACCCCCTACTGGGGATATGCCCGCAACCAAGGTACATGCCCTTGACCGGAATCGAACCCGGGACCTTTCAGTCCCCAAGCCGACGCTCTATCCATTGAGCCAAACTGGTCCCGGCTTTTTTTTTTTTTTTTTTATTTGAGAGAAAAAAACATTGACTTATTCCACTTTTGTATTCATTGGTTGAATAAGTGCCCTGATGAGAGATCAAACCCAAACCTTGGTGTAGTGGGATGATACTGTAACCAACTGAGCTACCTGACCAGGGCAGTATCACCCCATTTTACAAGAGGGGAAACCAAGGTTTGGAAGTTAATGAAAGATCTGCCTGGAAAGTGAGATCGTGAACAAATCCAAAGTCAGCCATGAGGTTTCTGTGACCTTGGAAAAGTGGAGCCTCTTTCCTCAACTGCAAATATAGGGAAATGGACAAAGTGCTCCTTCCAGTGTGAGTGCTTCTGTAGGGATCCAAGAAATTCAAACAAGTGTTTGTGTAGCACCCTGCAGATGGACAAGGCTTGGTTTGTAAGGATGTTTTATTGAAGAGGCCATGCCCTCGCCAGTTTGGCTCACTGGACTGAAGGGTCCTGGATTCGATTCCAGGCACATATCCTGATTGCAGGTTTGATCCCCAGCCCTGGTTGGAGCATGAGCAGGAGATAATGGATGTATCTCACATCCCTGTTTCTATCTCCCACTCCCAAAAACCAATGGAAAAATATCCTCAGGTGAGAATTAACAAAAAACACTAAAGTGGCTAGAAGTCTAAGCTTAAAAATGAACCCACCATCTCCTCCACTTCCCTCCAGGTCAATGCTCAAATTAATTTCCCAGATAGTTGCACCTTCTTCACCAACACTTAAACCTTTCCAATATGGAGAGAATGTGCTTGAATGAGGAAAACTAGTAGTAACTACTTTTAGCTGTTAGTACAAATTTGCAAGTAATTTCTGGAAAATTTAATCCTACTGCTGGTTCAAACACCAAGTTCTACAAAGTGTATCTCCTAAGTACCTTATTTTAGTAATCTCCATTCTGTTGGCCTCCACCAGAATCTATCACAGGCCAAAAACTCCTTTAGGGCCTGGCCCAGTCTGCCTTACCCACATCAATACACACCTGACACTCCTTCACTCTACAATAGCCACACCCACCCTGAGTGTAAGGATGAACTGTGTAGCTCATTTCAATCGGAGAAATAATATGTAAAAGACATTTTAGGCGGGACTACTAAAAAAATTGTAGCTTTTAGAAAGTGGGTCGAATTGTAAACCTGTCTTTTTATCCATTCAAATGTTGATCCATTTGTCACCTATCGTCTATTTCTCAACTTATTTATGAAAGAATATCTAGATAGAAAGATAATACTGTTGGCTAAGCATACAATTTTAAATAAACAACTGGTTTATTAAAAAAAAAAATCAATGGAAACTTACATACCTTATTTCTTCTGTCTCAGTGACAATCTTCCCTTTCCAAATGCGATATACCTCTGAGCCTTGTAACCCTTAAACTGAAATGACAGTGGGCTGAGGGTAGTGCTGAATAAAGCCAGTGTAAAAGTTGAACATATTCTAAGGAGGAGGAAAACTTGTCCTCTTTCTGGATATTGTTATTGCTGACTATAGCTGTAGTTCCCCAGCTGCTTGCTAACCTCATAACTTGGCTACATCAACTATGCTTATTAAAGCTAATAGTCATAATAAACCTTATTATATAATTAATACTAAATATACCAATTCGGGAGGCAAAGTGAGAATAAGACTCACAATGAAGTTCTGAAGAGGAATAATCAACAAAAAGCAATGCCTTCATGAACTTAAGAGTTCTTTGGCTAGAAGAGATCAGCATACCTTATTACCAACCCCTAAAAGCTATGTATGCTCTTTGGACTGCCTGTTCCATTACTAGAAATGCTTCACACATAAAATGGTTCTGGTTTTGTTTTTTGGGGTGTGTGTGTGTGTGTGTGTGTGTGTGTGAGAGAGAGAGAGAGAGAGAGAGAGAGAGAGAGAGAGAGAGAGAGAGAGAGAGAAGGGGAGGGTATTTACATAACAAAACATTTTAAATTTAGTGGCATTTAATCCAATCACAATGTTGTGCACCCAACACCTCTATCTAGTTCTATACCTCTAACATGTTCATCATCCTTTGTATTTCAAGTCCATTTCCTCATGTTCTTCAGAGACAATGAAGAACTACTTATCATCCTTTAGTTAATGGTCAATGGAGTCTTGAACAGGCAACAACCTTAATAGGTGTTAGGATCAAAGCTTTCCAGAGTTGGTCCTTTTTTTTTCCTTTTTTTTCTTTTCTGGGACTTGGTCCTTTTTTGATAGGGTCAAACTTGTGATAGGTGGGACTCAAAGTAAAGTTCTGAATAATATTTCACTCAACAGGGCTGCCCACACTTCGGCCTAATTTGTAGGTTAAGTAAGTGTGAGAATCAGGTTTCTTCACGACTTCGCAGAACCTTTAGTGTGCTAAGGTGCACTGTGAACTACAGGGGGAGTGGGAAAGAGAAAGTCTCCCCAACAGCCCATTAGCAAGGCCTAGGTCCTGCCCCCAGGTTAGTGAGTGGCTCTGGGCCTCCCCCATAGAAAGAGCTTTAAAGGTCTTGTTTCTTACGTGGGCATCCTAAGCAGACAGAACTTGATAGGAACCTTCTGACTGCTCTTGGATGAAGAAATGGACAAATAACCTCCCTAGAAATGTTTTCCTTTAATGCCTCCCCTCCCATAGCAGGCTTCTATTGAAACTATTGTTTAACTGTTTTGTAAAGTCTATGCCACCCACACAACTGTATCCATGTCATCTAACCAGGAAGATGTACTGGTTTGGCAGTTCTGGGGAGTAAGCCAAAACCCGTGCTGATAGAGTGCTTGTCTGAAACAAGACGGGCTATAGATGGTACCAGTGGAGAATGACCAACCATCCCATTAGCAAGAGCCAAGAACAAGGATGTTCCGTGGAGAGCCAGGATCTGTCCACATGACCTGCAGTGCCTAGTCCTGTATTCCACTTACTGTGAATTTAACACCCAATGCACTTAAAGTAATTGACACAAGGTGGGGAAAGACATGGAATGAAAAGACGTAATTCATGAAATATTTATCTAGAGTCTCATCTTTCCTCCCTTTCTAACTTTATTTGGCTCTCTTGACAAAAGCCAGAAGGCATGGTATCCAAGTTGTGATCATAACGACATGACCTTTACGGCAAAAACAGAACAAACAGAAATAGGCACCCACTAGGCACAGAAAGGTCAAAAACAAGTGATGAGGAAGACAAAACTAAGGCATTGTGGAGAGCTGGATCAGAGTATGATCTAAGAGAACTGGGTCAGGCAAGGGCACTTGGTGACAGAAGCAGGGAGATCCTTATCTGTTTTTTGTTTGTTTGTTTGTTTGTTTGTTTAATATATATTTTATTGATTTTTTACCGAGAGGACGGGAGAGAAATAGAGAGCTAGAAACATCGATGAGAAAGAAACATCAACCAGCTGCCTCTTGCACACCCCCTACTGGGGATGTGCCCACAACCAATGTACATGCCCTTGACCGGAATCGAACCCGGGACCTTTCAGTCTGCAGACCAACGCTCTACCACTGAGCCAAACCAGTTTCGGCGATCCTTATCTGTTTTGTGCTAGATTATTTACTTGTTTATTTTTTTATTGTTTATTTATTTATTTATTTTACAATTTCATTCTAAGGGCTGGAAAAAGTGAAGACAATGTAGAAACAGTAGGGAAAAGAAACATAATTCAAACTAGTTAACTTTACATTTAGAGGTGAGTATTTTTAAACTGGCTTGTTTTTTCACCATTTAAAACCTTACATAAAGTTTAGGGTTTGAGTTAAAATGAGAGAAGAATAGAGACATGGTAGGGCAACATGAGGTAGCATGCAATCCCTCCATAAATGAGATTAGGTATTTAAAGTACCAGGAACACCTGTGTAACCCAGAGCCCTTGCATGAAACTGGTCAATCCCACAGTACACCAAGAGAACCTTCAGGTTAACTACAGTCCCAGTATTTGTCTACACTAAGGGTGGGGAACCTTTTTTCTGCCAAGGGCCATTTGGATATTTATAATATCATACAAAAAAATATCATCTTAAAAATTAGTCCAGCTTGGCCGGCATGGCTCAGTGGTTGAGCATTGACTTATGAACCAGAAGGTCATGGTTCAATTCCCAGTAAGGGCATACGTCTAGGTTGTGCGCTCAAGTCCCAGTGTGAGGTGTGCAGGAAGCAGCCAATCAGTAATTCTCTCTCATCACTGATGTTTTTATCTCTCTTTTCCTCTTCCTTTCTCTCTGAAATCAATAAAAAAAAAATATTTTAAAAAAATTAGCCAGCTATATTTGGTCAAACATTTCATTAACTCACCCCTAATGCCTTGCTAGGGTCAGACCAAATGATTTCTTTGGGCCTTATAAGGCCTGCTGGCCTGACATTCTCCACCCTTGGCTAGACTGTCTCCTGTTTGCTGTTCTGACCTGCTGTTCCTTATTCTCATCTTATCTGGCCATCAGATCCATTGGAACCTCTAGGACAAAATGTGCCGTCCCCTCCTGTGTCTCCAGGGGCCAAGGTCTTGCCCTCCAGCATCTTCTCTAAGTTCACAAAGCAGAACAAGCCCTCGTCTAACAGCCCCAGGTGAAATAGATACTCTCACTTTCCCAGTATTGATTCCTGAAAGATCAATATGGAAATCAGCCTGGGCCAGCAGACCTAAACCTTAAAATGCATACAGCATCCGCAGAATTTAATAAATAATACTCTGATCCTGGCCTGTTTTGCTCAGTGGATAGAGCATCCGCCTGTGGACTGAAGAGTCCCAGGTTCAATTCTGGTCAAGGGCACATGCCCAGGTTGCAGACTTGATCCCTAGTAGAGGGTGTGTAGAAGGAGCCAATCAATAATTCTCTTTCATCATTGATGTTTCTATCTCTCCCTTTCTCTTCCTCTCTGAAATCAATAAATACACATATTAAATAAATGATATTTTGGTGCAGGTTAGAGAGCAACCAAAGGACTTACATGCATGCATATTAGCATATCCAATGGACACAGGCACTGAGGCAGTGGGGACTTGCCTGGATGGGAATGGCTGGGGAGGGGGTGGGTGTCAATTGGGGAAAAAGAAAACAAATGTAAAACATTAGACAATAAAATAATAATAATAATAATAATAATAATAATAATAATAATAACAACAACAACACTTTGGTGCCTTAATTGATGAGGCACCCAAAGAAAGATTGGACTTGATCCAACATGAAAAGTTTCCCTAAGAAGCCAGCCATGATGGTGATGTCCCATTTATACTACAGAGTGGGGCCACTGAGGAAGGGAAGCAAGAGCTTTATGGCAGGGGCACACAAGGCAGGGCAGGTCCAGAATCTCAGTAACCCTAACTTATACCCTGAGGGCTTTCCTAGGAACTATGATATAAATGATAGAAAGAATCTAGTGCTGGCAAAACCGGTTTGGTTCAGTGGATAGAGCGTTGGTCTGTGGACTGAAAGGTCCCAGATTAGATTCTGGTTAAGGACATGTACATTGGTTGCAGGCACATCCCTGGTGGGGGGTGTGCGGGAGGCAGCTGGTCGATGGTTCTTTCTCATCAATGTTTCTGGCTCTCTATCCTTCTCCCTTCCTCTCTGTAAAAAACATTAATAAAATACATTTTGAAAAAAAGAAAGGCGGGGAGTGTGTAGGAAGCAGCTGAATCAATGTTTCTGACTCTCTATCCCTCTCCCTCTCCATTCCTCTCTATAAAAAATCCAATAAAATATCCTATCTAATAAAAGAGTAATATGCAGATTGACCATCACTCCAACACACAAGATTGCTGCCCCCATGTGGTCACAGGATGGCCACCATAAGATGGCCAGCAGAGGAGGGCAGTTGGGAGGGACCAGGCCTGCAAAGGAGGGCAGTTGAGGCCAATCAAGCCTGCAGGGGGGGCAGTCAGGGGTGACTAGGCTGGCAGAGGAGGGAAGGTGGGGGCAAACAAGCTGGCAGGAGAGTGGTTAGGAGGTGATCAGGCTGGCAGGCAGAAGCCATTAGGGACAGTCAGGAAGGCAGGCAGGCAAGCAGTGGGAGCCAGCAGTCCTGGATTGTGAGAGGGATGTCTAAATGGGCAGTTGGACATCCCTAGAGGGGTCCCAGATTGGAGAGGGTGCAGGCTGGGCTGAGGGACAACTACCCACCGCTCCAACCCCCATGCACAAATTTTGAGAACCAGGCCTCTAATATAATATATATATGAAAGGACCTAGTGTTTTGGATCAAAAAATTCTGGTTTGAGTTCCACCTCTACCATTTTCTTCCTTGTTACTTAATCTTACTGAATTTGTTTTTCTTGTCCAAAATAATCCTCTATAATAAAAGGCTAATATGCAAATAGACTGAACAGTGGAACGACTGGTCGCTATGCTATACACTGACCACTAGGGAGTGGACCCTCAACATAGGAGTTGCCCCCTGGTGGTAAGTGCACTTCCACAGGGGGAGCACCACTCAGCCAGAAGCCCTGAGCCAGGCTCACAGCTGGTGAGCACAGCAGTAGTGGCAGGGGCCTCTTCCACCTTTGCAGCAGCACTAAGGATGTCTAAGCTGTCAGTTGGACATGCCCTAAGGTCTCCCGGAAAATGAAAGGGCACAGGCCAGGCTGAGGAGACACACCTCTCCTCTTCCCCCTCCTGCACAAATTTATTGTATTAGGCCTCTAGTCCTATATAACAAAAGCATAGCATGCAAATTGTCCCCTTAATTGGGAGTTGTGGTGGCAGGTGGCCAGGGGAAGGGAAGGAGTACCCAGCCAATAGGGACTCTACCAGTGCACAAATTTTATGCACTGGGCCTCTAGTGAAATAATAATAAAGCTCACGTTTTTGTTGTGCTAGTTATGAAATAATATGTGAAATGTGCTTTGCATCAAGTGGCTTTCAAATTATTGATCACAAAGTGCACACACTGTGTTGTTTTGTTTTTCTTTTTACATTAGCCAGTATATACACACATAAATATATACACTTGAAACAAAGGTTTCACCAAAACAATACTTTTATGTCACTAGATATTTTCTATTCTATTCTATTTTGTGTTTTTAAATGCTGGTTCAATCGACCATATAGTTTTCACAACTCCTAACGGGCAACTTTAAAAAAGCACTGCTGGAAATTATAAAATTGGTAGTTTTTACGATTCTATGATTCTTATGGATGATCTTATGACAGGGCGACAAAGGAAGAGGTCAAGGTTATTAGGTCAAGCACCAGAGAGTCCTGTTGCCAAGGGAATGGATCAGCTCTGTTAGGATGGGTCTGCCCTTGGGAGCCAGCCCTCGGGTGAAAACGAGTGGCCCACGCCCCTGCCACTCACGTCAGCGGTCACGCCCCAGGCCCAGCGGGCTCGGAAGGCCCGCCTCTCTAAGGTTCAGCGAGGAAAGCCGGGATTGGAGGTTCAGGGGGTGACGTGACTTTCCGCTTCGGGTGGCCTTCCGCGCGGGCAGCGGCCGGGAGAGGCTCGGGGAACATTTAGCGGGACCCCCAACCCCTCAGCCCTTGGAAGTGCGATGCGGTCCGTTAGCTACGTGCAGCGCGTGGCCCTGGAGTTCAGCGGAAGCCTCTTTCCGCACGCGATCTGCCTCGGAGACGTCGATAACGACACGGTCAGTGCATGCGCACTGCGGCGACGCCGGGCCGGGGTGGGCCGGGGCGGGGCGGGGCCAGGGGAGCGGAGGACGTCGGGCGCGAGCGGCGCCTGCGCGAGGGGTGGCGTGGCGGCCCCGGAAAGCTTTATGTTTGGCGTAAATGGCGGGGTGTCCAGGCCGAATCGTTCCCGTTCCCCGGTCTGGTATTCTTCTAGGAAGATAGATGACTGACTCTAAGTCAGTAACTTATTTACCGCAAGAGCCCATTAAACCTTGGTGGCCAAATCTCCTGGTCCCTGCTTCTGCCCTTGCGCTTCCTCCAGGGCTATCACTTCTAAAACCACTTTACCTTTCAAAGCCTCTAAACAGGCCGGCTGGCGTGGCTCGGTGGTTGAGCCTCCACCTGTGAGTCACGAGGTCGCGGTTGGATTCAGGGTCAGGGCACATGCCAGGGGATGTGGGCTCGATCCCCAGTGTGGGTCGTGCTGGAGGCAGCCAAGTAATGATTCTCTCTCATCATTGATGCTTCTATCTCCCTCTTCCTTCCTCTCGGAAGTCAGTAAAAATACATTTTAAAGAAAATACAGGTGTACTTTTTTTTTTTTTTTTAAGCCTCAAAACGGGTTCTTAAAGCACCTCTGCCATTCTTACACTTGGCTTCTTGAGGCGCTGTATTTATTCCAATTTATTCTGTAAACTAAGCTCCTTCAGCCTGAGCGACAGATGCATGCCCCCAATACCTCAATCTGAACGTCTTTCTATGGTGCCTGCTCTTCCGTACACGCAAGTGACTGGACACTCTAAAGTCTTGAAATGAATTACAAAAATAATTCCCATCTACCATTTCTTCCCTCGCGTCATTCTTTTTCCCGTTGTTTAAATAAATTAATAAAGTAAAGCAGGTAGCATCATGCCTGGGACACAGTAAAAAGCGTTAGCGCCATTATTGTTAAATTTGTATCATATTTTTCTGCAAATATTTATTGAACTGCCCATTAGGCGCCAAGGATTGTTACATTCTGGGAATTAAATAATTAACAAGACAGACCCAGGCTTCAGGTAGCTCATAATCAGGTGGGGTGATAGTCATAGAATAACAAGATGTAATGAGATGCCTTGATTAAAATATGTAAAAGGCTCTAGGGTGAAGCATCAAAGAGGATGGGGGCTATTGGTGGTGTGAAACACTCTTTTTTCCCAAATTTTATCTTTCCATTTATCTCTGAAAGGTTAACATGGTGGTACACAGTCAGGCTAAATAGCCATCTCAGCCAGTGATTAAAGAAAATGGAGCCGAAACCGGTTTGGCTCAGTGGATAGAGTGTCGGTCTGCGGACTGAAGGGTCCCAGGTTCGGTCAAGGGCATGTACATTGGTTGCAGGCACATCCCTGTTAGGGGGTGTGCAGAAGGCAACTGGTCGATGTATCTCTCTCATCGATGTTTCTAGCTCTCTATCCCTCTCCCTTCCTCTCTGTGAAAAATCAATAAAATATATTTTTTTTAAAAGAAAAAAGAAAATGGAATTTCTTTAAGGAAAGGGGCTGGGAATGCGATGTCCCAAGGGAAGGGCTGCACAGCAGGGAGGGAGCCAGGGGGGCATTGGGTCTGTGATGGCAGCACTCAGGCTGGAGTTCCATCCTCACATGCAGTCACTAGTGGGACACTTGTCAGTAGTCCGGGGGCTGAGCTGGGGGGCTTAGAATGCAGGTGTGCCACCAGGTGCCTTCCTGCTTTTAGGGCAGTTTCATTTCTTGTATGACTCTTGGTGTCCCAGCAAGTTTTTCCTGGTCTTTTTGTTCTTCCATTGTGGGAAGCTTATAAATGGCTATTAATGATTGTATTGCCTTACCTACCAATCTCTATATTTTTAATATAGAGCACCTTATTGCCTTTTTCTCCTACCCTCTGTCCCATCTCCCTACTCTGCCTCCCTGCTGTTCCGTACTGTCTTTTGCCTGAAAGAAAAAAACAAACAAACGAAAAGCTAGGACTAAAACATCCTCATCTCTTTCCAGATTCCTTTGTGCTGTTATGGAGAGGTATTTTATGAGGCTTCTTTTGGCTCTACTCCTCTAAGAAGGAAAAAGTTACTCTCATAAATTTGTATTATGTTTTTTGGGCTTTCACATTTTTTCATATGCCAAGCAGTACAATTTTTATGACAAAATTAAGGGAGGCATTTTTAAGTAATAAATTAACAAAGTGACTTTAGATGTGCATTATTTTCATTTTTATCTGAATGTCTTCTTTGTTTACAAGGGAAATACATGCTTTCTTAAATAGCTTCATAGCACTAGCTCTTTTGGAAATTGTGCTTTTCTAAGTGAATAGACTACACAGTTCTGCTTTGTTGGGTATATTATTAACTCTCCCCCCTCCCCCCCGTTGTAAGTGCCATTAAGGTAGGAATTTTTTGTCTGTTTTTAAACTATTTTATTCCCAACACTTAGAATAGTGCTTGCCACATAATAGGGACTCAGTACATGTTTGTTGAATAAATGATGATTGTTATGAAAAGCAAATGTTATTATGTATCAAAGCAATTTGAAGGCCTCTGCCTATTAATAAATATAATTGAAAGAAGGCAAGTAGTGAGATAGTTGGCTAGTGATCAAATGTGGTACACTCAGCCTATAGAAGTGTGGATAGAAATTTTATTATTGGTTCCCCAGGCCAGCATTTGGAGATTTGGGGCAGGAAAAAGACTGACTTTATTCTACTACTAGAGGCCTGGTGCACAAATTTATGCACGAGTGGGGTCCCTCGGCCTGGCTGGCAATCAGTGCTGATTGGGGCCTTCTTGCCAAATCCCCATTGGGTCGATTGGGGCAGCTGGCCTGGAGGAGGGACTGTGGGAGGTTGGCCAACTGAGGGAGGTTGGCTGTGGGAACGCATTGACCACCAGGGGACAGCTCCTGTTTTGAGTGTCTGCCCTCTGGTGGTCAGTGTGCATCATAGCTACCAGCCGGTTGTCCAGTCATAAAGGTCGCTTAGGCTTTTATATATATATATACACACACACACACATACACACATACACACACACACTAGAGGCCGGGTGCATGAGGGGTTGTCCCTCAGCCCAGCCTGCACCCTCTCTAATCTGGGACTCCACCATGAACGGGCCTAAATGGGCAGTTGGACATCCCTCTCACAATCCAGGACTGCTCCCAACTGCTCGCCTACCTGCCTTCCTGATTGCCCCTAACTGCTTCTGCCTACCAGCCTGATCACCCCCTAATCACTCCCATGCCAGCCTGATTGATGTCTAATTGCTCCCTGCCAGCCTGTTTGCCCCCAACTTCCCTCCTCTGCTGCCCTGGTCACTCCTAACTGCCCTCCCTTGCAGACCTGGTCCCTCTCAACTGCCCTCCCTTGCTGGCAATCTTGTGGTGGCCATCTTGTGTCCACATAGGGGCAGGATCTTTTTTTTTTTTTTTTTTAATATATTTTATTGATTTTGTACAGAGAGAAAGGGAGAGAGATACAGAGTTAGAAACATTGATGAGAGAGAGTCATCGATCAGCTGCCTCTTGCACACCCCCTACTGGGGATATTGCCCGCAACCAAGGTACATGCCCTTGACCGGAATCGAACCCGGGACCCTTCAGTCCCCAAGCCGACGCTCTATCTACTGAGCCAAACCGGTTTCAGCTAGGGGCAGGATCTTTGACCACCTGGGGGCGGGGGGCAGCCAGTTTGTGTGTTAGAGTGATGGTCAATCTGCATATTACTCTTTTATTAGATAGGATGGAGGCCTGGTGAATGGGTGTGGGCCAGCTGATTTACCCTGAAGGGTGTCATGGATCAGGGTGGGGGTTCCCTTGGGGTGTGGAGCAGCCTGGGAAAAGTGCCTGTGGTGGTTTGCAGGCCCCCAGCAACCCAAGCAGAGGCCCTGGTATCTGGCATTTATTTACCTTCTACAATTGCCAAATCTGCTGCACACTCTGGCTGCCGCCATTTCTGTTTGGTTTTATGTATCTTCTGTAATTGAAACCTTGTATCCTTGAATGGACGCCTAGGCTGGCTAGGGCAGGTGAAAAGGTTGGCTTCCATTGCCGGGGAAACCCAAGCCTCTCAACTGCTCTCTGTGGCTACAGTCATCTTGGTTGGGGTTAATTTGCATACTCACTGTGATTGACTAGTGGGTGTGGCTGGTGGGCATGGCTTGAGCAGAGTGATGGTTAATTTGTATATTACTCTTTTATTTGGTAGGATGTTTTTCCTATAAATATATGATAGTTTAATTTATAACAGTAAGAAATTAACAACTACTAACAAAACGGAACAATTATAACAATACTAGAGGCCCAATGCACTAAATTTGTGCAAGGGGCTCTGCTCTCACAGCTGTGGTGGCTTGCCTCGGCCTTTGCAGCCCTGGCTTTGTGTGGAAAATTGTCCGGAAGGATGTCTAGAAGGTTGTTCAGCTATCTAGTCTAATTAGCATATTATGCTTTTATTATTATAGACACTATGACAAAAGTTATGCAAATATGCTCACTTATTTCAGGGGGGTCCCTTGTTGAATTTTTCATACAGGCTCAGTGCTTTCTGGGGTAACATGTTACCATCAACTGGAACATATTTTCTTCCACCTTTCCACTTATCAGGCACTGTAGCCATCACTTTTACAGTTTCATGTATGACAGCAAAACAAGCATGGATTTCTTTTTCTTCCTTCATAATTTCACAAATAGAAGCTTTGTTCTGATCACAGATCTTAGCAACTTCAGCGTAGGATTACTTTTCTTATTAAGTTAAAACATTCACTTTTTCCCTTAAAGGAAGCAGTTTACCACTCCTACTTGGCATATCCAAATTGCTATCATCACTACTCTTATGCTTGGGGCCATTATTAAGTAAATAACGGTTACTTAAACACAAATACTGCAATACTGTGATGGTTGATCTTGATCTGATAACCCAGGCAGTTAAGTGACTAACAGTGGGTAATGTCTATGGTGAGAACACACTGGAAAAGGGGATGATTCATATCCCTGGCAGGATATAGTGG